TGTGTAACTTTTTTAGTATCCCATTTTAATTTTAATTTTTATTTAACAGGAACAATATATAAGACATTGCCTTCTAAAATTTGGATAATTATATGCATGTAAAACATTTAGCTTCAGTGTATTTGCAATTTTAGTCTCTGGTCAGGCTTGAGAATGTATTAATTTATATTTATTGAATACAATAAAAACTAATTAATACAATTAATAAATAGCATCAATCAATACATTTTAGACACTTGTATATGTCTGAGTGCCTCAGCAATCTAAGTGTACCGGGTTAGTGTATATGCTGTGTCCATGCAGAACTTGTGTTTACATTTATTTGGTTTGTCTTTGTCCACAGACATCAGTAGATGTAAAGAGGACCCGCCAATGCAGCCAGAGCTAAAACAGTTTCCCAGGACCCTGATGGGGGACAGGAGAAGGATCTTCAAGGCAGGCTGGTACCATATCCACCCCTGGCTTGAATATTCTCAACAGATGGACTCGGCGTATTGTTACGCTTGCAGATATTTTAGCCCTCCTAATACTGTTTTTTTCTCATCACTGTAATGTTATGACTACAATGCTTTGAAAGTTTGATGAAATAAAAAGTCAAATAATATTTCGAATCTGTCTTTTTAGCCCTGGGTTGAATGTGCCCCTCCATCAAAACCCCCGGCCCCAGCCCGGCCCCCTCAGTGAAACTGATCTAGAACCGCCACTGCTACAGTTATACTCTTCTAGGCTCCAGGTCACCCACCACCCAAATCAAGACAAATGCTCTGGATATATGGGTTTGACCACCTCAAACAAACTAGGTACTGTATTGACAATATTTCAATCTCGGAGCGCCATCTTGTGGACACAACTACTCAGCTTCACTTTACCTGAGTGTCTTCTGGGGCATCAGCACACAGGTCAGATGTCGCCGCCGACGTTGAGCCCCCACAGCAGTTGAGCTGCAAATCAAATAATTGTTGCTGGTTTTTTTTTTAATCTTTTTTTCAATGTATTTAAATGTCTACAACTTTGATTGGAAAAAGATGACTCACAGTTTTGTGGTAAATTAGTGCAATGGCAGTTGTGTTGGGATTGGACGCATCACTGATGGAGCTGCTGTAGAATTTTTGCACCTCCTCGACTATCTGGTTGAATATTATGCAGGTTAAAATATGGTTGGAAGGAATTCAATTCAATTCAAAGAGTAAAATTCATGAATGAACTCTAGATTTATTAAACACATGGCAAAATAATTTTCAGTAGACCAATTGCTTCCTAATTGTCTTTCTTAATCATTATATTCTTTGTTGCAGCCAAGTCATGGAAGTGTTTCAACACCCACACTTTTGCCGGGGACCGAGCTGAAGACCCAAATATTCCCAGTAAAAGTGTACTTTTCCTCCTGTTATCAATTTGTAGAGTGGTTGCTTAACTTGCAGAGCTTTTTTATTTGTTGTACCTGCTCCTTGTTGATGAATCCAAACACACCAGCTGCAATCTCTGCGGCGAAAATGATCAACAGGCAGGCAAAGAACTGCAAAAGAGACATTATTAATAATTGTGTTCCTTTTAATTCTAACACACTGAAAACAAACATTTGTAAATGATTAAATGTGAACATATTGTATTTCAACGTTAAATACAACTGAATTGTACTTAAATTATAAATACAATTTTAATCCACTTTAACATCCACAGTAAACACTTAACTCAGTGATTCTTTGCATACCACTTGAGGGAGCACTAGTGGTGCCTTTGCCACACTTTCAGAATCACTGACCTAAATCACGTAAACTTGTGATTAAACTTACCGAGGCGAGAAGGCACTGAGATTCCCGAACGGCCCCGAAACAACCAAAGAAGCCAACGAGCATCATTAAGCTGCCCGCACCCAGGAGAATGTACACAGCTGCGGAAACAAGCACACGCGTGGCGTGATTGACACGTGACACATCAAAAAAACTGATTTGTGAAACAAACTTCAGTCAAACGCAAAAATCGGTTTCAAATGCACACATCTGAATCAGATTCTGATTTGCATTATAGGAAACAAATTCCGTTCTCAATTTACAAAGGTAAATAAAATAAACTGCACATTAAAAGCGCTCATATTTTGTGGACAATTTTGGAAATATAATTTGCTAAACTGGGGTGACATATGCCACATATTAGTTGCCATGACTATTTCTTCTACTATTTCTTCTCCTTCCATTTCTTCTACTTTCTTTTGGAGCTAGGCAAGTAGTTTTGGTGTATTACAGCCACCTTTTTAACATGTGGCATCGACCACAACAAGATTTACTATTGTATTTACAGCATCCAAAGGTACAATCAAAAAACCAAATGCAAAATGCGACACAGCATTCTAGTAAGGAAAATCCAGTTCAAACTAAAAAGACATGTTATAAGTTGCGCAAGTTTCAAATTCAACTGGAACTCATTCATTTGTGACTTCACTGGAAAATCAGTCATTCATTATTAAAAACCAATTATACGGGGATTGTAATGTTATGACGCCATTAGTATGTGTACATCACCGACATTTAACAGTAAATAAAGCAAAAAAATACATATATATCAAAGATTTAAGTGATTTCATTTGCGTGTGACGGGACTGCAGTTCAGCTTTTCACTGCAGTGAAGGGGGAGGGCAGCACTGTTCCACATGCTGGTCCTGCTCTTTTGTTCTAATCAGCCTGTTAGCCACCACGTTAGCTTAGCTTTGCATCATTAGCCTTTCTGCTGAGATGTCGTCACCTTCTCGAGTGTTGTAGTCCGGCTCCCTCCCTCCAGAGAGTGAGGGCTGCACAAATTTAATGAAGCCACGTGGGAGACCAGCAAGCTGTTGTTTTTCCTCAACTAAAGAGCTGACTGAGGGGACTTATGAAGAGGCTGATGCTTGGTATCATATAAAATATATTATCTAATAATCATAACCGGGGATTTCAATGTGGCAGGTGTGTTTTCCAGACAAAGAATTTTAGTCGGATTTTAAGTGTTTTTCTACAATATCATCGAGGAGGGGCATTGAGGGAGACCATGTCAAGTCATATGAGGCACATGCACGCACACACAGAAAGAAAAGGTCTCATCCTCAGCATCTGTGCTCAAAACAAAAGCCACAGAAGGCCGTTTTTTTTCTTTTTTTTTTTTTAAAGAAAGCTCCACACTGAAGGTGATGACTTTACTGTTTGCTGTATATTTCAGCCTTGAGCTGCTTATTATGATCATACAGCTCTGAGGCATTTGCAGCCATTTATGGTGCTTTCAGGAGGAAGAGGGAATCAAATCAGAAACCCGATACAGTATTGTGCCGTTATGCAGCAGAATGCAAGATTGTGCATTATAAGACACCATGATGCACCACATTGTAGTGTTGTTTTTACATGACCATACACTTCAAGTATATTGCTTATCCATCCACCAACATCCTATCTATCTATCTATCTGGTATGCTATCCGTGAGCTGCTTGTGAAAGTGGTTTGTTTGTGTTGAACATTTTTACTGAAAGCATTTGTTTATATAACATGATTTTGTACATTCTGAATGTGTGGTGTTAATATTTTATGATTCTCCCCATTTTATGTGCTTTGCCACCATCTTGTGGCATTGATTTGCGATTATAACCCTTTTTCCGGTGGGTGGGTGGGTATGTTAATTATTCGCAGATTATTAATTGTGGAAAAGCGACAATATGGAAAACAAGCATTTTGGTGCACTATAAACGTAGTTTACACTCTTGTGCCATGGCAAACAGAGATGCACCCCTAATGCATTGTGTAAGACTGTTTGGTAACACCAAGCGGATTATTGATTACGATTATACTCGATTGTGTTGTAGCATGGTGCACAATGTGGACCATATTGTACCGTTTCCACTACTGGAGGGGCGTTCAAGTACATACCGATGAAGAAAGTGTCGGGGGCATTGTTGCCTGTCAGCAGCTCCACTGTTTCTGGATCAAACCGCAGCCAAAGTCCCACAGCCAGAACCAACAAGCCGGATAACTGAGGGGGCAGAAAGTCACAAGTGTGGGATGATGATGGGATGGTGTCGCAGTGTCATAAACCTTTCGGCAATGGATATATTGATACAAAAGGTTGAAGCAACACATGTAGACATATAATATAACAAAATGACTACAATTACTGCAGCTTCCTGAAGTATTTTGACTGGCACCACATACAAGGGACCCTCAAATACTTGTGGTTCGGCACCTGTGGGTTCACTATTCGCAGAGTGTTTGTTTCAATTAAAAATAGTTTAGTTTTATTTTTTTGTCATTTCTACACAGATTTTCGCTGCTCACAGGCCATCCTAATCCCTATCCCCTATCCACGGCCTGTATTATACTGCCCCCAGGTGGCCAATGTCCACACACCAGAACAAGTAGCACAATATCCATTAAAATTAATACAAATGTGGCAAAAAATGTTTAATTATTTTCATTCAAATTAGCTACATAATTGCTACACATTTTCTCTGTACTACAATATTATAGAGTATTATTTTTCTGAATAAAAACAGTTATTCTGGAAAGGATTAATGGCATTTCCCTACGTTTCAATGGGAAAAGGTGATTTGAGATATAAGTGCTGTGAGTTACATGCATAGTCACAGAATGAATTGAAGTTGTGTCTTTAATATTTCCTATGATGCACTTAGTCTACTAGCCATGCCAGGCTCACAAGCATGGGAGGGGGCTATTTTCGAGGCGGTGACGCAACCCACCCCATTGCTCACCCCCCACAAAAATAAAACCCACCACCACAACCACATGAGTGCAGGTTCCGCCTCTTTTGGCGCCCGCCACAAGAGCTGTCGGTCCCACGAGCCCCTTGCAACAAAGAGCCGCTGTCTCCTTTTATGACACACAAGTTGTCATTCGACACAGCAGCTTTAAGTGTTTGGGAGTGCCTCAATCGAACTAAAACACTCTCCAGTCCATCACTAATGTTACTGAGAGCCAATAGAAGAGCTGTATGCCTTTAAAACCATAACAATGCTCAGTTTTGATTGGTATTTATTATTGTGATGAAAGCAACTATATCATAAAGAGAGCAATCAAGGAAATAAAAATTAATCAGATTTAGATTTTCTGAGGCCATTGCTGATTCCCAAATTTGGCAGATTATCCAGAAATGGATAAAACTGGGAAGAGTGGCGATAATTCCCAGGAGTGGTTGACCAGCTAAAATTACGCTGAGAGTGTGACAACAACTCCTCCAGGAGGTTGCAAAGGAACCTAGAACAACACCCAAAGAACTATAGACCTCGCTGGGCTCAGTTCAGGGCAGTATTCAGGACTCCATTTTGAGAAAGACACTGGCCAAAAATGGCATCCATGGGAGAGTTCCCAGGCGAAAACCCTGCTGTCCAAAAAGAACACAAAGCCATGTCCCACATTTGCCAAAAGACATCTTGATGATCCTCAAGACTTTTGGAAAAAATTCTGTGGACTGATGAGACAAAAATGGAACTTTTTGGAAGAGATGCAGCCCATTACATCTGTCATAAAAATGGCACATAGTTTGATAAAAAGAACATTATGCTGCAACAGTGAAGCATGGCGGTAGCAGTGTGATGGTCTGGGGCTGCTTAGCTACCTCAGGACCAGGAAAACTGGCTGTGATTGATGGGACAATGAATTTTGTTGTCTACCAGAAAACCCTGAAGGAGAATGTCCGATAGGCAGTTTGCGCCCTCAAAATCAAGTGTTCTTGGATCATCCAGCAGGACAACGATCCGAAACACACCAGCAAGTCCACCTCTGAATTGTTAAAAAAATAAATAAAAAAACTGAGGTTTCGGAGTAGCCATGTCAAAGTCCGGATTTGAATCCAATTGATATGCTGTGGTCTGACCTTAAATGGGCAGTTTAGGCTAGAAAACCCTCCAATATGGTGGAGTTGAAGAAATTCTGTGAAGAAAATGTTTCCACAGAAATGTGAAAGACTCATCAACAATTATTGCAAACGGTAGATTTCAGTTATTGCTGCACTCACTTTTTCACAGAGGGTCAGAAACGTTTGGACTTTTTTTTTTGTCCTTTAAAATATTTAATTGAAATGTCATTTGAAAACAGTAATATTACAATTGGTTTGATTATTTTAAACCTTTGTGTGTGATAGATATGCCAAAAAAAAAAAAACAGAAACCAGGAGCGGGGGGGCAAATACTCTTTATGTGAGCATACCTCAAGAATCGAGACAGACCAAAACAAACAAGCCGAAAAGCAGATTAACGCCGTCTCCGACAGCAAAGTCACGGCGCAATGTCATTCAGTGTGCAACATGAGAATTATCCAAATAAGAACATGTTTTGTCAGCTTTTGTAAAAGCTGCACCTTTGGAGCTTTTTTTCCTTTGAGAAGTCATATTAAATGGATGAAAAGTATGATGCAACAAATTTAGTTAGCATGACGGGCCAGATGATATGCCTTAGTGGTCTGTATATTGACCCCCGGCACCAGGTTGCCCACCACCAACACTTTTCCTTGTTCTCACCAACGGTGTTCATTTGTCAATGTGACCCGCTCTAAATTTCATCCTCAAAAAAATGCAAGAACGTAGAGCAAAATCAATTTTGTAAAATTAAATAATAAATCTACTTGCATAAAAGTAATCCATCTTGCCCCCCCCAAAAAATTATATACTGTATATACAGTATATAATACAACAGATCATTCAAATGTTATTCTTTTGTGAATTAAAGGAGCAAAATGAGCCAAGCGAAGAGATTTTTTTCTTTTTTTAATACTTAAAAAGGAAAACAAGCAAATATTAGTCTCGCAGAATTAAAGTTCCATGTATTTTTTAAAATACCCCGCCAGGCAAAATTTGAACATTGTTTTGAATGCATGAGAAAGGTTGTTCTTTTTTTTTTTTAATTGAAAAAGAAAATGGAAAACGAAGCAAGCAGAAACAAATGTAATGAATTTTCAGTGTTTTATGACGAAAAGGATAAAATAAAACCTGTGGAATTAAGTATAGTTTTTCCCAGGTAGATTTAAAAAAATAATATACAGTGTCACACCTGCAACACAACAGGATGTTAGAGGAGTAAGCGAGCGCATAACTCGTCTTAATTGTCCAAAAGTATGGAAAATGATGGTTTGAGGCTGGAGGTGGCCTGAGCTGGTTCTATGCAGCATCAACATTATACACACTGTTGACTGTAAACAACAACATAGTGCATCGCTAGCTCTTTCGGGAATTGCACAATAAAGCGTTACCATGACAATCTACCATTTAAACGCACAGATTTCAGCATGCAGTTCATTCCCATTGGACGACTAAAAAAAAAAAATGATGATGTCATATCAATCAATAACACTGGTGCAAATGGACTCACCCAAAAGATGAAGTTGAACACGATGAGCAGATATTTCACGCATTTCATCCCCCCGTGCACTTTGCTCATGATTACCACCTGATTCGAGCCGAGTCGTGATGAGCGAGCCTCTTTTAACGCTAATAGACAACAAAACAGTACTCGCTAATATGCGCGCCTCGTTCTCGCCGTGCACGTTTACGTAGTCGCGACCGCGATGGTCCAGGGAGCGGGTGTGCGTGCATGCGACACCAACATCGCGCGGGAGCGGCCCCGCCCATCTCCCCCCTCCCTGCGGTCGTGTGGGAGCGTGCGTGTGAGCGAGCACGCGCGTCTTTATGTGTGTGCCCACAAACACAGCACCAAACCCCAAAAATGGTAACATGTTGTTTTGTACGAAAAAACAGCACTCTGCCATTGCACTTTACAAAAACATACAGTAATAAAATAAGTGAATAGAACGTACAATGCATGAGCTTGTGCGGATCGATTTCATGCGTCAGCGGAAAAAAATAAAATAAAAAAATTAAAAATGGACATTGTGCTCCTTCTGATGTCACGAGGAGGCAGTATACAGTCACCTGCAAAAGTATTGTCACAGCAACGTCACCACCTTTGTTTTTGTTGTGTAATGAAGACATTTGGATTTCAAATGAAAAGATGAAAATGAGGGAAAAAATGTAGAAGTCCAGATTTTATTTCATGGTACTCTATTTCAATCTAGATGTGTTAAACAGCTTATGAGAGAGCAACTTTTGTTTGAAGTCACCCACTTTTCAAGTGAGCAGAAGTATTGGAACAGACATTTTTACCTGAACTTATAGTGAAGAACATTCAATATTTGGTGGCTGACTTGCAATAAGTGTGTCAAGCCTGCGACTCACTGACCTCACCAGGCTGTGGCATTCTTCAATTGAAATGCGTGTTTCAGTTCTTGTTGGCTTCTGGGTGTTTCTCCCATCAGTCTCGCTTCAAGAGGCGAAATGCATGCCCTCTTGGGTTAAGGCTCGATGAGTGACTTGGCCAGTTGAAGACCTTCCACTTTTTCCCCCATGATGGTAGCATGTTGTGGGTTATTGTCTTGTTGCATAATGAAGCTACTCTTGATTAGTTTGGATGCATTTTTCTGTAAATTGCCGGGCAAAATGGTTTTGTAGACTTCAAACTCACGCTGATGCTACCATCATGAGTTACCTCATCAGTATAGAAGCAGCCATGCAAGCTGCATGATGTTACCTCCACCATCCTTCACAGATGATCTTGCGTGTTTTGTATCATCAGCAAATTCTTTCTTTCTCAATACTTTGGCCTTTCTATCACTTTTGCAGAGGTTAATCTTGGTCTCATCAGTCCATGAAACTTTGTTCCTAAACGTTTGTGTCTCATCTATGTACTTCTTTGTAAAATCTAATCTGGCTTCCGGATTCTTTTTGCTGATGAGTGGTTTGTACCATGTGGTCTGGCCTGTATATTTCTTTTCTACAATTCTTCTTAGAATCCTGGATTGCGATACCTTCATCCCTGTTCTGTGGAGGTTGATTGGTTGTTTCTGTTTATCCAACTGCTGTGGATACACTTGGCTGACCTGTTCAATGTCTGTCGCTCAGTTCACCAGTAGTTTCTTTCTTTTAAGGACATTGTTGTTACGGCTATGCTCCGTGTTTGTGCAATAGCTCTGATTGAGTTTCCCCTCTCCTCTCAGCTTCAAAATGGTTTGCTTGTCTCTCATCAAGAGCTCTCTGGTCTAAACAGCAAATGCAGTTTTCACAGGTGAAACCCAGATCCAAAAACAAGCAGTAATGTTTAGAGTTGGTTTCTCTCTGAGTGGGGAATGTGTGGGAATGGACTGAATGCTGGATTCGTCAACGTTTTTGACAAATGTTGACGAAAATCAGGGGGTAGCGACTTATAGTGATGCTTTGAGACAAAGCGTGAATGTTTGGGAGCATGTTTGCGAAAGACAGATGGTGACTATTAGCGGCTATTTGGTGTTGTGTTGCAAAGATGAACAACTCTTAGACACTTTTGCCAGTTTTTGGGAAACTTTGGGACAGTTTGTCAACTCCTGGAGTAGCAGACGAATCTATGGACCCAGTTAAAAAGGTATGTGAACATTCCCAAGCGATCAGTTTTTTACGGCGCCCCTAAGGTGACATGGAATGAAAAAAAGCACCTTTAACATTACCTCATAAAGTTTGCGACATAATGCTTTTTTTTTTTTAAATTCAAGGAATGCTTTTCTGTTTTTTTTTAATGCGCGTCTATGTACTTCCGAGTCAGTTTGGCAACTGTAGCCTGTTTGAGAGATGACAGTATGCTTCAGACATCTTCGCTTATTTGGAAACCATGCTGAAGATCTTGAACAAACTTTGGATTTCAAGTCAATTTCAAAGTAAAATTCAATTAAACTCGCACAAGGGGGGAAAACGCTTTATTTTTGTTGCTTTCATTTACCCAAAAGCGAAAAAGCGCTCCCTTGCAAATAAATAAATAAAATGTTACCTAATCTCGCAATATTTGCAAGGGAGCACAACATTTTGCAGGGGAAAACAGGTGTGAGAGTGAGCGTGGATGGCTGTTCGTCTCTGTGTGCCCTCCGATTGGCTGGCAACCGATTCAGGGTGTCCCCCTCGCCGACTTCCTCAAGACAGCTGGTATAGGCTCCAGCACCCCCCACAACCTTTGTGAGGATAAAGCGGATCAGGGAAGAAAAAATAAAATAAAATAAAATAAAAAAAATCAAGGGTTTTTCGATATTGTGATAATGGCAGATGCAATATAGGACAACAGTATCTCGGGGGAATAATACCGCTAAATATAACAGTTCTTTAGGTACATGTAAAATATCTCAATAATATCATTATCACAGAATTCAACACCCATATCGCATGTTTTTCCAATATGATGCAGCCCGAGTATGCTGATGTTTGGCCAGGGGAGGCAGAGGGCCTCCTCTGCTTGGGAAAGGTAGATAAATACATGATTAAATAAAATTCGTATACGTTTTCATTCTCTGGTCTGTGCCTCATATTGATTTTCTTTTTGATTCCAGGAATGTTCAAAACTGCATCATTTGCATATTTCTCGTTCAAATTCATGAGTGAGACAGGAAGTGCTGAAGCAAGCGTTCAGCCTTACTTCATATTGCATCATCGATCACAAAAAGCAGAAATAGCGAATCAACAGCACCATCTACTGGTAATATTACTGCACTGAAACTGAGGTAGATAGTGGTTGGTAGATGTTCTATTTCCCTGTTAATTTAACGCAGAAGGTGATGATGGCTTCAGCAGATTAATGGCGCTGCAAATGATTGAAAGCATGAGAACAACCTAAAGTATTTTTTTGTTTTGCTAAATTATTCAAAGACACTTGGATGATTCAAAACCTAAATTTCATCTATCCATGATCTGAAATGCTTTATCAACCTGTGAAAAAATGTCTTCCACAAAGACTGATTGAGGCTTGTTCCTTGCCCTTCAGCAGTGGGTATTTCGCCACCAGGGTATTTGTACTGTACAGCCAAAGGTGTGGTTTACCCCCGACCCCCCCATGTACTGTACAGCCAAAGGTGTGGTTTACCCCCGACCCCCCCAAAAGTGCCACTTTACACACTGTACTCTCCTGTACAGGAGAGTCGAAGAAAGTGTTCAGTATTCCTGGATCCTGTTTTGTACTGTACAATATGCATGTGGCGTGCCACGCCATGCCAATGAGGTTGACATGTGGGGCATCGCTGAGGGGCCCGGAGTGGGATCACCCGCTCTGCCGTCCGCGCTTCCCGTGGTTAGGCTGCCTTTGTGCCACCATTTACTCATGTCATGTGGGCGGCAAACAGCGACCTCGTTTGTTTGCCAGGGGAGTCGATGGTGTGAGCATCACAAGACTTATTGAGCCACTGCCCACCACCCGCGTGCTACAGCAGCACCCATTGTCAATGTGCACGGGAAGAGACAAAATACTCATTGGCATTGATATGTATTACTGTATATACACTGGGATGCCGGTTTTTAGATTATTTCAAAAGATCGTCGTATGAACACCTGCTTTTGTAATTTGTCAGTCATTCCCTCGTCCGGGTTTAGTAAAAGAAAAATTGCTTTGTGGCGCTAAAATACACACTTCGATTACTGATGGAAAAAGCGTAAGTATACGATTTGGCCCCTAGATGGCAGCATAAGTCAAAAAAAATCCTAGCCTACCACCACCTTCAGCAGGTTTGTCTTCCTGCAAGGCTTTATTCGCTCATTCATTTTATTTTTTTCAAAAGTCTTTACAGTAAGGACATTGCACTTTGCACCTATGTATACTTCATTTCAAATAATTTGTATGTAATAGTAGGTTTCATGGTCACTGTCCTGACCTTCTGTCTTTGTCTGTCACACTTTAGTTGGGATTTGCAGCACTTTTTTAAAATCGTTCATTATCTTGCATGTTGGCCAAAATTTGGACATTTTGCTTCGTTTCGCCGCCTGACTACCACCACAATTGCTGCAATCGGTGAATAGGTCTGATAAGTTTGTTTTATTGTCAGACTTGGCGTTGTCATAGTCTCGCATTTTCACGTTTGGTTTGCATAGCATCCACATTTGTTACGAAACTATATGGGGACATTAATGTTCTGTTCCTGTCTTGCTCTGCTCTGCTCTTCCACCATTTTGTGAATCTGACATACTGAAATGGCCTTCGTTAAGCCACAATCATGTAATAGATTTTTTCTCCTGAGATGGTTGCTCCTTATGCCAGACACCAATCGTCTGATAAATTCTTCACAAAACTCACTCAAGTTGCAGGTCTCAGCTTTGATCCTTCAAAGGGAAAGTCAACCCTAAAATGTTCTGAAAAATGCAAATGTAATCCTGTGAAATAATCCAAATTTTTAATAAATGTAACTGTAATATGATCACATTTGTTTTTATGTAATCAGAACGGAATAATGTTACTTTTTTTGTATCCTGAATACGTAATTACATGTATTCCATTACTCCTGAAGCCCGAATGTACGCAATTTCCATTTTATGCGACGTGATGGCATTCAGCAGCACGTGTTTTTGTAAAGCATAACGAATCGGTTGTTAACTATTTGCCTTAACACCTTTAACGGAAACCCGATAAAATTAACTAGACAATATAAACAACATAAAATTGCTTTCTTTACTGACTTTAGCGTGTTTCAAAAAGTTAAATTTAAAAGTGGCCCTTTCATCCTTCCATTTTTCTGTATGTGGCCCTCAAACGAAAAAGTTTGGACACCCCTGCCACACGCGGTGAAAAGGCCGCGGAGAATTTAAGGTATTCGAGTTAGGCAGGCTTAGCGAATCTAGCGATAGATAACATAGTAAAGTCGTCGGTGGCTTCGCTTCGCCGGAAAGCGAGTAAGCGGCATTGTTGTCCGAAAAGGCGTTATTACGCCATTTCTCCTCTAGAGGTCAGTGTTTCGTTTCGGTTGGCTATACAACACCAGAAGCAAACAAAACAAACAAGTACATTCTTCTGCAAACAGTAGCCTTTTTTGTTTGTTTGTTTTGAATGCGTTTCACAGATATTACAATGCGTTTCACAGATATTGCTCAGTGTTTTAGCTGCAACAGAAAATGTGACAAGCTCACGACTAAAAAAAAAAAACAACAACAACAACAACAAAAACGAATTGATTCAGACTGGACTAGCTGATAATCACTTCTAAAATTAAAAAAAATAATTACTACGACTACTACTACTACTAATAATAATTATAGTAGATTAATAAGAATAATAAAAGGATGGTGCATCATATTATTACCTACTACAGCCAAAGCTGTAATTGACAGGAAATCTTATTCTTATGCTTCTGAAATATGGAAAAATGGATGAAAATTGCAGCAAATTGAAGTCATATGCCCCCCTCCCCCATCCTGTATAAAGTGATTTGGATGCCCGTGTGATTGAATTCCAACACAAAATGTATAAGGTACATGTTTAATAAATAATAAACACTATTTTCAACATGGTTTCCTCAGACCTGGGCCAAGTAACAAAAAACAGGATACTTCTAGTATAATTGTGTTGTTATGTTGAGGGCTGTGCTGTCTGCTAAGCAGCCTCTATGACAAGTTTAAACCCGCTGTTTGGAGGAAAGCCGTGTTCACTTCAGCTGCATTTTATTCTGTCATTAGATTATTATCCGTTATTACATTATTGGAATTATTTATACCCTGCTATCTTGGAGCCAGCGGATTGAACGACATTTGAAATATTTGCATAATTGCAATTTTTCCACAGAGCGACAGTATGTAGATTTCCTTGTGTAATCGTGTCCCCCTGTTTTTAATGGAAATTGGAGTCCAACAGTGTTTTTGCATGTCTGAAATAAGTGTAGCCGGGGTCATAATGGGGACATATTGTGGAATAAAAAAATACTTTTTCAATTTTAATACACAAATAGTTGTGTCTCTGGAGTACCTGCCCACTCACCAAGTACAAAATTAAACAATCCAGTCAATCTTTGGTGAGCTGAGGATTTCTGAAAATGTCTCTTTGATTGAGATGTTCTGAATTTTGGCAAATTGTGGCGTCAGAATTGTGGGGTGGGAATTTGAGTTGAGCAACGTGGTGCCTCAAGTTTGACATGGCATGAAATTGTTTGTGTTATATTTGTAGTTTAAACCAGGGATGTCAAACTCAGTTCCTGGAGGGCCGCTGTCCTGCATGTTTTCCAAGTCTCCCTGTTGCAACACACCTGATTCAAATGATCAGATCATCAGCAAGCTCTGCGCAAGCCTGACATTGAACCTGTTCATTTGAATCAGGTGTGTTGCAACAGGGAGACTTGGAAAACATGCAGGACAGCGGCCCTCCAGGAACTGAGTTTGACACCCCTGGTTTAAACCATGAACAAAGCCAAAAGTCACTTCTTCTTTGATAACATTATCCTAATAGCATAATCGCCCAGGAGGTTACCTTTACCTTTTAAACTACTTTTTTAAATTAAGTGAAAAACTCACCTAACTTGCTGCTTTGCAGTGTATTTTGGCATTTTCTGTAATTGGTGTCAAGGAATTGTGTTGAAGTGATACATCTCGATTGGTGTAAAGGGAGGGGCTAAATTCAGCCAGGGTTGTTAACCAAAGTTCAAGAGTCCTTACTCCATGTTTTTTTTTTTTGTATTCTGCCATAATCAAATTATCTCTAAGCTTTTTAAAGGTATTGTTGTAAGATGAATTAGAAATGATACTGAAGGGATTATTGTGGATCATAGTATATTTATGCAAAGATGTTGAAGTGATTTGAGATATACAGTACACACACATGCATATCCATATTAGTTGTGATTTGCCGACATTTTGTGGCAAATGGATTTTCTTTCTTCTCTTCGTGGACTGAGAATTTTTCTTCATAAGCGTAATATAGTCTTTGACCCAGGCCTGCCGTTATACACAGTTCATGCAGTCCCCGTACTTTGGCATAATACTAATAATTTACTCTGTACAGAAGTCTTTATATAGACAGTGTGTAATGAATTTGTGTGCATATATATATATATATATATATATATATATATATATATATATATATTACTGCCGCCATGACTTGCGGCTGAGCACACACACGCAGGCCACGTTGATGCGTATGAGCCTCCACGCCACCAGGTTCTGAAAAGACGTCAACGCCCGCACAAACGTGTGTGAGTTGGTGCAGCGGGAGTTCCAGTGTCGGGCGTCGATGCCCAGGCAGCCCGAGTTGCCCACGTGTGAGCTGTGACACGTAGTCTCGAAGAAGTACTGTTTCTTGTTGACATTGTTAATGTTGACATCAGGCAGCACTGTCACCTCGTTGCCCGAAATGTCCGTGGCCTTGGTCTTGTTGCCCACCCACACGCTGACGCTCTCGCACACGGAGTACACGCCTCGGTGCTGGGACTGTCCCGCTCGCCGCCGGCTCCTGCGCTCGCCATGGGACCCGGTTGGCTCGGCATCGGGCGTCTGGGCACTGAACAGCACCCTGGGGGAGAGCCTGCGCCGCCTGCTGAAGAGTTTTGGGTCCACTCGAGGGGCGGCGGCGACAGCGCCTGAGTCCCGCCGCTGTGTGCTGGGGGCTGCAGCGCCCGAGTCCTCCCGAATGGAGGCCACAGCCTGGGCACTGAAGAAAAGCAACAGGACCAGCATAGACGACCTCATGGGCACACCGCCTGTGGGGAGCAGTTATGTATTCTTAGTAAAATCCACTCAAGAAAAATATAAAATGTTTCCACACCCCTGTTCAAATGCCTCTTTTTTGTGATATAAAAAAGACGACATTTATCATTTCAAAACTTTTGACACTTATAATGTGACCCAACAGGGGTGCACACAGTTTTTCGGCGTGTGAGCTATTTATAAATTTGTCAAGTCCAAATGATCTACCTACTTTATTTATCGATATATTTATTTATTTAAAAGCATACTTAGGATAATAGAGTCGCTTAATGGTGGAGCGGTTCACTCGCCTGACTTGTGAGCAAGATATCATTGTTTTTAAATCATGGCCCGAGCCAATTTGACACCCTATCCGAAATTGGTGAGCATTGATTTACATTTGCTTACAAAAGAAGTTGAGTTTTTAATCTTACCATTATTTAAATTAATAACCCCTCAAAAATATAAAATGGTAAACTCAATTTCCTGACTGTTTTGTTACCGTCAAAGAAATCACGAGTCACTTGCATTTGTGACATTTAAATGTGCAAACCAAAAGGAGCAACAGCTTTTCCTTCCACTTTTTCCTTTGCTCCCCTTTTTTTATGCTCTGTAATTTAAATAAGTAAAGTACATTTTTAATTCCTCTAATAGTCTTAGATTTACTCGTTTCATGTTTTCCTCATAACAAATGAGGCTGTTGCTGTTGTTTTCATTTTAGCTTAATGCTAAATCATTTATGTATTTCCAAGTTCTTATTGTCCTTTAGTGTGAAATATTTTGACTAGAAATACAATTTCTTAATTGTATTACTCTATCATGGAATCATTTTCTTTTCATAAAACATCTCCCACCATCATAAATTCAGAAACAAACAGCAAGTAAACCGGGCAATCAAAGGTTAATTCGACTGTAGGTGACGCACAGTGCGTAAACCGCAGCTCTGTCTGGGCAGAGACGCTGATTTGTAATTAATTTACATTGCTCCTCTTTTCTTACTTAATTGTTTATATTAATTTCAATTCACTCTTCTATCCTTTTGACTTAAAAATAAGAGTTAATAGTCATTGGGTTTTTTTTAATGTTGAAAGGGAATTTTCACCAGATTTTTAGCACCTCCAAGAGTTGACGGCACTGTTAGCATCTGCCTATCCCGCCAAATGGGCAAGACAGCCCAAGTTAAAGGATATTCTGGACAAGGATGCAAAAGAATTTTGTGGGCATTCAAATACACCATGGAACAAAATGAAGAGAGTCGTGATCCGGTGGAGAAAATATGGCACACCAGTGACACTCGCAAAATTCCGACATCTCTCCAATATTTATGAGACGACGACAACGAAAGTGGCCGCCAAGAGGCCGACAGCAACAGTGAAGGAGCTGTAAAAATTTCTGGCAAGTACCAGCTGTTTAGTACACGTGACAACAATCTCCTGTCTTCTTTGTATGTCTCAGCTATGAGATAAGGTAGCAAGACAGAAAACAAATTTATCTTACAAAGAAAACCAGTCAAGCACACGGGAAAATGTGCTATGATCTGATGCAAGCATAATTGAATGTTTTCTAAATTTATTCCAAAAAGTACATTTGGGGCACACACAACTCATCGCCAAAAGAACGGCATACTTACAGTGAAGTGGTCGCGGCATCAGGCTTTGGAGCTTTTTATTCTACTCTGGACTACTACTTAGGCAAAGTAAAGGTAAATTCCTAAGCTTTCCAAGGAGCAGTTACTATTAACACAAATCCCTCAGGCGTATGCTAGAAGACAAAAAAAATGTCTGTAAACGTTAGAGCAGGTGTACTTTATTTGGAGTTAATCCAAAGCACTTTTAATGGTGGCAGGTGTAAGCTAACTCTCACATAAGATTAGTTTGAATGCACGTGATTCTTTCTGAACGCAGCCACATCTATAACTTATCAAAGAGTGTGCGCCTGCAGCCATATTTTCTCCGTTTATTTCAATCCATCCGTGATCCAAACTGCTGATCCTCAAATAATATAAAAAAAAATTCAAATGGGTTGTATAAATTTTAGTTAAAAAAAAAAAAAATCAATGGTTTATCCTGATCTCATTCCCTTTTATTTCACAAAAAACTGGAAGTTGGACAGGGTTGGGGGGGGGGTCCCTCATATTAACATGCATGCATATGTCCTCCGTTTTTACAAGTAACTACTTCCATTGTCAACGTGGAAACAACAGAGTTATTTTCCTAAACTTTGTGACCCGTCAAATGGCTCCAGTGGCCTCTGGCTCTCTTAACATGTCAGAGTTTGTGCAAGTTTGAGTGGCTCTCAGTTAAATATTCTCATTTTTTACACCAAAGACAAGCAATCAGAGCCACCGCGACCGAGTGGGGCCAAACAGAAAAATCCTCTTCAAGTCAAGTTCCCATACAAGAAATTGGCCAAAATGGCAAACTCAACACAGATCCATATTGAAAGGATGCTTTTTTTCCAACCACTTTGTGGCACTACAGTAATTGAATGTGACTGAGGTATGCTTCATAACTTGGAATAATCATCTGCTAAACCAAAACGCAGCATAAATTTCATTCCCATTCAAATGCGTTGAATGACGGTGTTGACCCTCCATCAAAGTGTCATTTCTACTATTTGTAATTTTTTTTTCCTTCTGTTAGGACTGACAGGCAGCGAGGAAACGAGCAGGCATGTCGACACCCGTGACGGCGCCGTCGGCGGGCTCTTCTGTCACGCAGGTTTGTTACGCCATGTTTTGCCCCCGGGAAGGGGAGGGTGTGGGGGCTCGCCTTCGACGTAGATATTCAAACGGTTGGCAATTCCAATTAAACAAAAGCCCCTCACGTGATTCGAGGTGACACATGAGGAAGGTCTGGGGTCACGCTCGAGTGAATTAAACCAAAGTAAAGCGAAATGTCGGCTTTGTAATTTTCCTTACATACAAAAGAACTTTTTGGTCTTTATTTTGTGTCATGCAGGGTGCAATGAAGAACACATTGTGCAACACCTTTCCTCCATCAAAGGTATCAACAGATGTGGCACATGTGGCTTTGCGGCTAAAAATGCCTGATTTCAGGGGTGGGGAAAATAAGTTGATCAAGGCGACATATGATGTCAATGTTTACTTTTTAAGGGATTGTGTGGAATTAGTTGAGTCTCTAGTGGGCCTAATTAAACAACGGTTTGGTTATACAGTATGCCTATTTCTGAAAATGTGTCTGAGATTGGGCAGTGGGACTAAATTACATACCAAACCCCCCCAAAACAAAACACATCGAGTGCCCTTATTTGTGAGGCTGTGGAAAGATCCAGGCCCACTGAAACAGTAGGAGACTACACAGTGTCTTAAACAATCTAATGTAGAGGAGCTATTATGCAGAAAAAAAATCACATCTTTAACATTTGTGACACCCCTGCTATCATACAGAGGTGGACAGAGTGGCCAAAACTTGTTCAAATTAGTGTACTGCTAGAATAAAACATGAATAAGGTGAAAGTAGTCCTCCAAAAAATTACTAATAAGGACTCAGTGAAAAAAACTTATACAGTACTGAGAAATTGGTGACTAACTTCTGATTTATACTGTATCCGGCATGCAGTTGTCCAGAAAAGTGTCATATAAATCAGATGCTTTACGATTAATCATTATTATCATTGTTATTATTATTATTATTATTATTATTATTATTATTATTATTATCAGAGCATGAACATTAACTTGACAAAAATAAAAAACAGGAATGTGCAACTTTAGATATTGGCCAACAATATCACTTTAACGCTGACAATAATAAATAAGATTTTGTAAAATACAACATAAATAAAGGCAAATTAAGCCAAAAGAAATAATCTTAAATTAATTGTCTCAGTTTAAACCCATCACTACCAGGCTCTATTTGACTTATGAATGGAGTCGAACGTTACAAGTTGCTACGTTGGATTGTTCGAACAGTCATGTGACACAAGTCTGATGAACCAAACCGGAGCTCGGAAGCAAAATTAAATAGCTGTGGATAAAAATACTATTAGTGAGCGGAATGTCGAGCTGTTACGTGAAATTACTGTTTCTTCATAAAAAATATACTCAAGTAAAAGTAAAAAGTACTGTATGTTGCATTAAAAGTACTCTGATAAGTAGAATTTCTCCAAAAAGTTACTTATTAACAATTATAATGGAGTCACTTTAGCTTGTAACTCCCCAGCTCTGCTATCATGTCGATACCTACAAGGTAAGCAGAGCTGTATTGTCTTTTTTTTTGGATACACACGGAAGGGTGTTTTGGCTTCTCGGTGTGCATCCCGCTTAACCTTTTCAGAGTCCGCTGGGGAACGGTAGCGCCTCACTGTGGCACCTAGAGGATGCGAATGAAGCTGCGTGCTGCGCTCGGGGCTCCTGCCATGTGGACCCCGTCCAGCACACCTCGCCTCCTTGGCCCGCCTGCTGAGACATAAGGCAGAACATTTGTTTTAGTGCCCTCATAAAAATACTATAAACACATTGTTAGCATCGCGACTGGACTTTTACATTGTGAACATACCCAAGCCTCAAAAGCAGGTTAGCTTCTCTGCTTGCCTTAACATTATCAGAGGCGCGGTTTGTTCCATGAAATTGTTTTCATTTATTCCCAATTTTGTAGTTTCTCTTGGCTGTACTGTTTCCAATACTGTGAATTTTTATTTCATTTAAAAAATTTGTTTTATTATTTCTTTATGCGTGTATGTACGCCTCAACTCACTTTGGTGTACTTTCCTGGACATGAAGATGCCACCAAATGGTGCCAAAGCAATCAGTTTATTGCTTCGGCCTGAGCGCAAAACAGTGAATAGGCAAGTTCAATCGACTGCTGTCAGTGTCAGCTGAAGAGGATACATCAGTGAGTATTATGTATTAAAGCTTTTTTCAATGAAGACCTGCTTTTCAAGCAGCCAACCTCCAGCGATCGACCGGTTACCACACATGCATGCATTCACCATGCATGCACGCATGCCACATGATGAGCAACAGCCATAACGGACCCTAATATGAACGAAACAGAAAATGAAACCAGATACAAACCAAGACTGAGTTTGGGAAAAGGAAATAACTGTCTACCTTACCTGGAGACCTGAGACAGGGAGCTGGAGACGCACTTTTAGAGCGTGTTAAGAGCAGAAACATCACTATCGCAGCTCGTGTGTACCGTTTTAAAATGCTGCTACTGGTTCTCCAGATTCCTTTTCTTTGACAATGCTATTGGTGAATTAGAGATCAAAAAAACTTTGAATGAAAATAAACAGCTGGGTGACGTGTTTAATTTTGGCTTGAAAACAAAAGGGAAATGCCTTTCTTAACTTTAATGTCATATTAACTCCGGTAAATCCCCGATGAAGGCTCAATTTCCAAATACACGGCTTGCCACTGCTGCAAAGCCAGACGCCATGCATGTGCGTTTTCTCACATGTATGCCGTAGCGGCATAATGGATTTGGCATGGCACAAAGCACCGTCAGCTGATGGTCCATCACAATCATAATGCATCTTCCCTGTAGTTGTGTCATCGTGTCGTCTTGTCATAGGAGCAAGGCGGAATGTTTTCATTCGCCCGTCACACGACACCCGTTGACAGACCACAACAGTCGTTTGTCACGATCGTATGGCGTCTCGCCTCAGCGAGTGCAAAGTGAGACAAGCTGACGGGGGAATGTAAGCCACTGCGCTACCACCGAGTAAACAGACTGCAAATCTACATGACCATGAACAATGCGCCATGGCACAGGAAGTGTCCCATGCCTTATTGCGGTGCTTTGCATGGTCCTGAGGATTTGACTCCAAAACGAAGGCCTTTAGTAACGCCGTTATACTTAAAAGCTATTATTCCCAACACTGCTCAAAAGATTCATTCTTTTGAATGAAACATTCACGACCGACACAACATTACTTCCTGTTTGCTTTTGGGTAGAGTGTAATAGACCAATGAATGTGGTAGCAGAATCAGATTCCTCCTCTACTTTGCTGACTATTCAAAATGGGTCATCAAAGTCTAGACAAGACATTGAATGGAATAGTGTGGTTGGGGCATAGGTTGCAAAGCTGTGAGGTTCGTGTTGCTTTTGTGTGGGTTGCAGCGCACAAAAGCAATTAGACTGTTCCATTCGATGTCTTGTCTAGATTCTGATGACCCATTTTGAATAGTGGCACAACCACATGCCATACACGGTGGCATTTTTGCCATAGAAACAGAAAATGCAGCGGAAAAAAAAAACAATCAATGTAAACAAGTTTGGCAAACTTTGAGGGTGGCAATATGGCCGCCGGTGGCTTCCCTTTTCCCGACGGCGAGGATGTGGCAATGTTAGTTCCTTCATGGGTCATGAAAATCCTCGCTCCTCACAACATTGAACGTAACCTGCAAGGTGTTCTCACACCACCATATTAACGAGCGTTTCGATTGTCTTAAGCGCGCAATGAAGTGCGAGGATAGAACATCGACGATCTTAACAGCGTAAATAACTGAAATCGAGGGACATCTGCTGTATCATTTGCGGAAGGCTTGCACACCCTCGATGGTGACATATGAACCAGCTGGACCTTAAACGAAATAGTTACATTACATGTTTGTGTAATTTCTTGAAAATTTTTGTTATTTGAGTTTGAAAATGGCGGCCCGGTAGTCCAGTGGTTGGCATGTCGACTTCACAGTGCAGAGGTACCGGGTTCAATTCCAGCTCCGGCCTCCCTGTGTGGAGTTTGCATGTTCTCCCCGGGCCTGCGTGGGTTTTCTCCGGGTGCTCCGGTTTCCTCCCACGTTCCAAAAACATGCATGGCAGGCTGATTGAACACACTAAATTGTCCCTAGGTGTGAGCGTGAGCGCGCATGGTTGTTCGTCTCTGTGTTCCCTGCGATTGGCTGGCAACCGGTTCAGGGTGTCCCCCGCCTACTGCCCGATGACAGCTGGGATAGGCTCCAGCTCCCCCGGCGACCCTAGTGGGGATTAAGCGGTTCGGAAAATGGATGGATGGATAGTTTGAAAATACGTATTTTGCTGCATGTGTGTTATATTTGGCGCAGTACTTGAACCCAAAAAGACTTGATTACACCCACTCGTGGTTACCACATTGAACCAAACCTGCTTCTAAGGTTCGTGGTAATTAGGCTGCTATTTCTTGACCCGCAACCTTCTGATGACACTCTGTGACACTCTAAGCTCTGTGGCCACTTCCGTCTGAGAACGTGCTGGTGGAAGCATCACAATACCAAGGTATACCGTTGATCCATTTTTAGGTGTCATCTTGATGTGAACAGCATGATGAGGACGACTGTTTCAACACCGGCTCTAATTGAACCAGGACATTTATTGGCCGATTCAAGAGCCAAACGCCTGTTTGGAATTTTGCCGTGAAGGTCCCCGTTAGGGAACAGGAACTTGTGCAAAAAGTACTGAAGCATTTAACAATTGGACATGCGCATTCAAAAGCTTAGAGAAGGTCACATTAAGTTCACCTGTTAAGGTTTGAATGCATTTTAGGATCGTCCAGAAATTTCACATGAAAGCTAAATATCCCTAACTCTTTGAGAGTAGTCTATCTGCATTTAGGATCTATTTACAAGTCCTTCCAAATAGGCACTGGGGGTGATGGGGGCGGGGCAGACGCACTAGGGACAGATTGCGTTTGTCTTTGCATCTGCAAAGTTGTGAAGCGTAACAGTGTTGATATTTGACTTTAATTTAATCCCACTTGGGACATAAAGCACAAAGTGGACATTTGTGGTGAGAATAATTCTGACAAGCATTTGTGACACGTGTCAATGATGTGAGGTCATCTTGAGCAGACTCCTGCAACAAATGATGACATTGAGGAGTGATCGTCTAATGACCCTAAAACATTTCTACCTCCTCCTCGTCAGTCTCCTCCCTCCTCGATGGAATTTCTCATGAGAAGTGCTTGTATGTAAACAGAGGAGCAATGCTCTAGGAAGCTGCAATTAGACAAATGAAATGAGCTTACTGTTCATCCAACCAGGAAAAGGAAGTTGAATGGCACCCATGAGTACATTTATGGATGTCATTATCCATCCATTTTCCGTTCCGCTTTATCCTCACAAGGGTCGCGGGGGGTGCTGGAGCCTATCCCAGCCGTCTTCGGGTAGTAGGTGGGGGACACCCTGAACCGGTTGCCAGCCAATTGCAGGGCACACAGAGACGAACAACCATCCGCGCTGACACTCACACCGAGGGACAAATTAGAGCGTTCAATCAGCTTGCCAAGCATGATTTTGGAATCTGGGAGGAAACTGGAGTACCTGGAGAAAACCCACGCAGGCACGAGGAGAACATGCAAACTCCATACAGGGAGGCCGGAGCTGGAATTGAACCCGGTACCTCTGCACTGTGAGGTCAACGCGCTAACCACTGGACCACCGGGCCGCCCTGGATGTCATGATATGTACATGAAGTTGAATGGTTAATAAAGATAGTTTCTTTAACTGATGTTTCTTTTAAAGAACTTTTAATTCATGCTAATCTATTTGTAAAATAACTAGCTGCAATCATATGTCAATTTTCCGTCCAAATATGGTGTTGTGTTAAGCGTGCACTTTTTTAACAGCTACTCTGTAAAAAAAACCTTTATTCAACCCAAATGTGCCCCTGCGAGGGGAAGCAAAGGAAGCCTTTATTATGTGTTATTTGAGCTAATTTCCCAGTGAATTATAGTTTGTGAGGAATTTAGTGATATGTAAATCTTGTGTCCGCTACTTGTGTTGGCCTCTTTTATGATGGCGGAAGGTCGCTCATAGAAAACAGACGTCTGATGCGAAAACGACTTAGTGGTTTAGTAAAGAGAAATAAAACGTCCAGTCAGCAGTTGCTTCTCAACTCGGCGGGTTACAAGAATTCACAAGACTGGGCCGTGCACCAGCATTGAGCTCGGAGGCTAATGGAGTCATGGGTGACAGCGACAGTATCCAAAAAGAAACACCTTTCAGTTTGACGAAGGGCTGGAGTGATCAAATATTTTGGTACTCGGGTAGCCTACTGAAAATTCTATTGAATAATCGAGTTTTCTGAAAAAATAAAAATATACAGTCATGTAAATATCCATCCATCCATTTTCCGATCCACTTGTCCTCACAAATGTCGCAGGGGTTGCGGGAGCCTATCCCAGCTGTCTTCGGGAAGTAGGCAGGGGACACCCTGAACCGGTTGCCAGCTAATCGCAGGGCACACAGAGACGAACAACCATCCGTGCTCACACTCACACCTAGGGACAATTTAGAGCAGGCGGTGTCAAACATATGGCCCGCGGGCTGGAACCGGCTCCCAAGGAGGTTCGATCAGGCCCGCATGATCATTTAAAAGTGAAAAAATGCATAAAAGACACGGAATGAATATTTTTAATAAGGTGCAATTCATGGAGTATCTGCTCGGGGACACACTGTTTTGATCAGAGTAGAAGAAGTAC